TTGCTCAGACTGGTGTTGAACTCTTGAGCTCAGGCAGTCCACCCACCTCAGCCTTGGTAATACTTCTTTAAAAATTTAAGTTAATAGCTGGGCATGGTAGCTCACTCCTATAATGCTAACACTTTGGGAGTTCCACAGTTTGAGACCAGCCTGAGCAACATAGCGAGAGCCTGTCTCTACAAAATTAGAACAGTTTTCTGGGTGTGGTGGCACACATCTGTGGTCTCAGCTACTTGGCAGACTGAAGCAGAAGGGATGCTTGAGTCTAGGAGTTTGAGGTTGCCCTAAGCTGTGATGACTCTAGCCTGGGCCATAGAGCATACCCTAAGAAGTACCTCCAGATAGATCACAATTCTATCACTATTTTTTAATATAATTTAATAATGATGGAGTACCCTTTTATCACTAATCCTAGTTAAAATATGCCATGTTATGATATAGGGGCATTTTGATTTTAAGCTGCTATCCGAAGATATTGAGGATGTAGTTTATTTAGAGCATGTAACTCACTCTTTGGGGAACATTAGAAAAGTACAGATTGAGTTGGACAGCTGACTTTTCAATACCTTATGTCATAATTTGTGGACTACATTATAAATAGGAAATACTAGGAGATTTAAGTTAATCTGAATTTTGACCTTACAATCAAATTAACCAGAATGGCAGAATTTATAATTGTAGATTCAAAGGTAGATTGTTTTATTGTTTTGATTATTATGTGGAGCTGTTCTTTCAAGGTTTCAGGTACGTTCACCCACTTTCTTTCAAAAATGTCGGGACCAGCATTGGTATATTTCTCAGTTGGAAGCTGCACAGACTAGTTACATCCAACAAATAAACAACCTTAAAGAGGTAAGGAAATAACATCTATTTCTGGTTTAGTGTTTTGAACTGTCCTTTTGGCTTACTACATTTGTAATCAGATTGTGGATGTTATTGTTTGTAATTTTGTAGAAAAATCCAGTTATCCTATTCTCTAGCCTTATCACCTTTGAGCCTTTAGTTCTGTACTGTCTAGTTCAGTAGCCACATTTTAAGTGCCTATATTAGGGGCTTTGCAGATATAGAATGTTTCCATCACTGCATAAAGTTGCATTGCAGACTACTGCTCTAGTTTTAGGTAAAGTCTCTGCGTTTGTCACAATGACTTAGATATTTCTCTTCCACAAGCTATTTTGGATTTAGAGGACTCTAAGCTATACTTAGAAAGTTACCCTGTCTTGAACTCTCACTATGGTTGATTGAGCACTGGGAAAAATCAGTTAATGAATTTTTACTTTGCTGTGGTAAACTAAACTATGTAAGGAATGTTTCTTTCTTTATAGTGCAACTTGGAATGTTGCTGGAGGTTTGGAGTGCTAAGAGTAGTTAATAGATGAGGGAGGAAACTATGAGTATATAAATGAATGTATAAATACATACCTTCAGAGATTTTTATGTTAAGTACACTATTTAAAACTGTATTCATTAAATAGTTTGTTCACTATATGTGTAACTTGGGCTGGATATGCAAGAAGGAGGATAAGAGTAAATGGGGTAGTTTATCTTTGTAATAGGTTTTTTCATAATCAAAAGGCAGGAGAGGTTGAGAAAAATGGTTTTAGGAACTATGAATGCATTTTTTTTTTTTACTTGAAACATTTTTTTACTGTGCCAGTGAGGTACTGGTTATGACTTTTTATTTGTGTTCTTGTTTTAAAAGAGACTTACTATTGAACTGTCTCGAACTCAAAAATCAAGAGATTTGTCGCCACCAGATAATCATCATAGCCCCCAAAACGATGACGCTTCAGAGACACGAGCTAAGAAGTCTGCATGTTCTGATATGCTTCTTGAGGGTGGTCCCACTCCATCTTCTATAAGGGAGGCCAAAGAGGATGAAGAAGATGAGGAGAAGATTCAGAATGAAGATTATCATGTAATGATTAGGCCAGTTTTAGATTTATTTTGTGTTTGATAAGAGAAACAAGGGGATCATGGCTTTTAACATATAATGTATTAATACAGTGGGCCGAAAATCTTGTTCATTGATTTTCATTATTAATGTATATATGCCCTTTCATAAATGTTACTATGTAAGTGAGAAGTTGAATCAAAGCATTTCAAGGTTCTAAAAATTAGTTTATTGGCTCAGCGCCCATAGGACAGTGGTTACAGTACCAGACACGTACAACAGAGGCTGGCGGGTTTGAACCTGGCCCAGGCCAGCTAAACAACAATGACAACTGCAACAAAAAATAGCCAGGTGTGGTGGCAGACGCCTGTTGTCCCAGCTACTGGGAGGCTCAGACAAGAGAATCACTTAAGTCCAGGAGTTTAAGGTTGCTGTGAGCTGTGATGCCACGGCACTCTATTGAGGGCAACATAGTAAGACTCTGTCTCAAAAAAATATTAGTTTATTGCAGAAAACTATTCATTGTGTAAAACAGACTGTGATGGACATTCTAGAAACTAAACTATATAAATTATGGATTTTAAAAATATATATTATTTCCATTCAGTGTAACTAGTAGGTACTTTATCATTGCATATGTAGGTAGAATGACTTAGGATTTGGGAGACTGCCATATTTTGTGCCAGCTAAACAACATCCAGTGTAAGAATTCAAGAAGTGCTGTGGCTCATGCCTGTAATTCTAGTTCTCTGTGAGGCAGAGCTGAGAGTTTAAGACTAGTCTGAACAAGAATAAGACCCCATCTTTACTAAAGATAGAAAAATTTAACAGTGTCAAGATGTTATAGTGTCTATAAATGTCTATAGGTGTCTATAGTCCCAGCTACTTGGGAGGCTAAGGCAGGAGGATGGCTTAAATCCAGTAGTTTGAGGTTGCTGTGAGCAAGGCTGAGGCAGTGGCATTCTAGCTTGGGCAACAGAGTGAGACTCTGCCTCAAAAAAGCGAAGGAAAACAAAAGAACTCAAGAAGTGGTAGCTGTTTTTAAGTAAGACGAGTGCAGAGACTAGTGAAGGTTTTTTGGTAGTAGTTGCTATTTTTTATTATTATTATTATTTTTTTTTTTTTTTTTTTTTTTTTTGAGACAGAGCCTCAAGCTGTCCCCCTGGGTAGAGTGCCGTGGTATTACAGCTCACAGCAACCTCCACCTCCTGGGCTCAAGCGAGTCTCTTGCCTCAGCCTCCCAAGTAGCTGGGACCACAGGCGCCCGCCACAACGCCCGGCCATTTTTTGGTTGCAGCCGTCATTGTTGTTTGGCGGGTCCGGGCTGGGGATTTGAACCCGCCACCTTAGGTGTACGTGGCTGGCGCCTTAGCTGGTTGAGCTATAGGTGCCGAGCCTTTTTTATTATTATTAAATGATAGCTATATACATTAATGCAAACATGGGGTACAGTGTAGTGTTTTCATATACAATTTGAAATATTTTCATCAAACTGGGTTAACGTAGTTGCTATTTTTTAAGGTTTGAGAGAGACCAGATATGGTGGCTCATACCTGTGATCCTAGGATTTGGGGAAACCACAGTGGAAGGATTGCTGAGGCTAGGAGTTCAAGACTGGCCTGAGCAAAAAATACTAAGATCCCATCTCTTCAGAAAATTCACTGCATGTGGTATAATGCACCTCCAGTCCTAGCTACTCTGTAGGTTGAGGCATGAAGATCACTTAGCCCACTAGATTGAGATTGCAATGAGTTGTGATGATACCATAGCACTCTAACCCAAGTGGCAAAGCAAGACCCTGTCTCAGAAAATAAATAAATTAAAAGAGTGACTTCAGTTTTATGTTAAAATGAAGGAGCCAGTGGGGAGAGAGATTGAAGATAAAGTTAAGTGCATTGACAACTATAGAGATAATAGGGGTTGAGATGGAGCACTTGGGTGTAAGTTAGCTGACCAATTGAGTAAAAGGAATGGTGGTGTTTATAGGTAAGGCAGTTGAAAGCTGGGGTAGTTTATGCTTATTAACTTGTATTTTTTTCTGTGCAGATAGGTGACAGTGTTAGTTCATGACCTTGAGGATGATAAAGATCAGGCAAAAGTTATTAGTCTGTGAGGAACCTCACTGGAAGCTGACATTGAACAGTGGAATATGTGAAGCATTTCCACTTACACTGAGGGCCTAACTGAAGTTGACGACCATAATTAGTAGTAGTATCAGTCAGTGTGCTTGTGTGATTTCCTTTTTTTTTTTTCTTTACAGAGTTCAACTGTAGGCATAGAAGCAGAGAATAGAAATCTGATAACTTTTTTCTTTAGTGCTTGCTTCATGGGCTGGATGGGATTTTCAGCTGAGTAGAAATATTTGGAATAGAAACCTTGCTTTCTTTGCCTCAATCTAGCATGAGCTGTCAGATGGAGATCTGGATCTGGATCTTGTATGTGAAGATGAAGTAAATCACCTCGATGGCAGCAGTTCCTCTGCTAGTTCCACAGCAACAAGTAACACAGAAGAAAATGACATTGATGAAGAAACTATGTGAGTATCCCACATTAACTACCACTATCAAGCATCTAAGTGGTAATTGTTAGAAGTATGTTACTAATTTACTGGGGATATTCAGCAGTCTTTTGAATAATCAGTAGCTATTTTCTTCCCTCTCATCTCTGCATTTTAAGCCCAGAGTTTTTGTTTTAACTTTATTTTTTAGAGACCATGCCTAACTGTTTTGCCCAGGCTGGAGTACAGTGGCATAATCATAACCTCAAACTCCGGGCTTCAAGTGATCCTCCTGAAGAGGTGGGACTGTAGGTGTACACCACCATGCCTAGCTGATTTTTGTATTTTTTTTTGTAGAGACAGGATCTTGCCATGTTGTCCAGGCTTATCTTGAACTCCTGGTCTCAAGTGATCTTCCTGTCTTTGCCTCCCAGATTGCTGGCATTACAGCCATGAGCTATTGGGCCTGGCCTATTTTAACACTTAAATTTTAATTTTGAAATTATTTTGTACTTAAGAAGTGTTGCAGAAGTATTACCTAAACTTTCCATATACCCGTCACACAGATTCATTCCCCAAATGTTAATATTTTGCTTTGTCATTTTTCTTTTTTCTTTGTATATAATTTTTTTCTGAGATACCTAAGTGAATATACTTCTGGTGTTTATTTTTCCTTCCCTTCCCTACCTTATCCTACCCTGCCCTACCTTCCCCTGTCTTACTCTGCTGCACTGGGTAGAATGCCTTGGCTCCATATCTCACAGCAACCTCATGCTCCTGGGCTCAAGCGATCCTCTTACCTCCACTTCCTGAGTAGCTGGACTATAGGCATCTGCTACAAAGTCCTGCTAGTTTTTCTATTTTTAGTAGAAATGGGATCTTGCTTTTGCTCAGGCTGGTCTCAAACTCCAGAGCTCAGGCAATCCACCTGCCTTGGCCTCCCAGAGTGCTAGGATTACAGACATGAGTCACTATGCCTGGCCTGTGTACTTTCTTTAAACAAGGAGATTTTTTTTTACATAACTGTAATACAGTTATCAAAATCAAGAAATTAACATCAAGGTAGTAATATATTAAAAAGTTGCTACTAATGTGTATCCTTTGCTTCATGATCTATTCCAGGAGTACATGTTGCATTAGGTCTTAAATCTCTTCAGTTTGCTTCAATCGGATTTTTTTTAAATTTGTTTTTCAAGACTAACACTTTGGAAAAATTAGAATTGTTATTTTGAGGAAAATCCCTCAATATGGATTAAACTGAAGTTTCCTCATGATTAGATTGAATTTATATATTATCTTTTTTTTTTTTTTTTTTTGAGTCACAGTCTCACTATGTTGCCCTTGGTAGTGGTGCTGTGGCATCACAGCTCACAGCAACCCCAAACACTTGGGCTTAAGCCAGGGGTCCTCAAACTTTTTAAACAGGGGCCCAGTTCACTGTCCCTCAGACCGTTGGAGGGCTGGACTGTGGGCCCTGGGACGAATTAGCTGCTAAGTAGGACAGGCAGTGGTGGCAAAAACACCTGGTGGGCCAGATAAATGTCCTAGGTGGACTGCACTGTGGCCTGTAGGCTGTAGTTTGAGGACGCCTGGTTAAGCAATTCTCTTGCCTCAGCCTCCCAAGCAGCTGGGACTACAAGTGCCCTCCGCAATGCCTGACTATTTTTGTTGTTGTTGTTGTTTTTGTAATTGTCATTGTTGTTTGGCAGGCCTGGACTGGGTTGGAACCTGCCAGCTCCAGTGTGTGTGGCTGGCACCCTAGCCACTGAGCTACAGAGGCAATGATACATCTTTTCAGAGCATCATATTAGAGTGGGGAGAGCATGTAAAGTGAGCGTGCCCCCTTACGGGTGATTAATTTTGATCATTGTTTGGCGTAGCTTCTGCCAGGTTTCTCTACTCTAAAATTAGTACCTTTCCCATGGCCAGCACCTGTGGCTCAGTGAGTAGGGTGCCAGCTCCATATACTGACGGTGGTTGGTTCGAACCCGCCTTGGCCAAACTGCAACAAAAAATAGCCAGGCATTGTGGCAGGTGCCTGTAGTCCCAGCTACTCGGGAGGCTGAGACAAGAGAATTGCCTAAGCCCAAGAGCTGGAGGTTGCTGTGAGCTGTGA